TTAGCGACTGATTTATTTTTTTTAGAATGAGTTATTGAGGGTAATATGATCTAATTAACTAAAATAAGTGATATCGAACTTATAGTATGATCCATATGATAACTTATGGAAATTTGAGTTTTCAAGTGTAGTAGTATTATTAAAATTGTATGTGTGTAGTAAGAAAATGGGAAAATGAGTACAATAGGCTAGACAGTTCTATTCTAACTCAACAATCTCATTGAAAAGTTGGATTTGAAGCTATCAAACATATCTTACTTTTATTATTTTGAGACATTGACCTATAGAGTTAAATGACCTTATTGCATAAATTCATACATGAATAAAATTCATATTCATTATTTTGAAATGTTTTTAAGAATTGTTTTCTTAATTAAAACGTATTTGAGCAATTAGTTCTTGAGGTTAATTGTGTGATTTTAATTTGTAATCCCCTTTTGCATTTTACCAAACAGGCCGTATGTATCGAATAATAAGGAATTGCTTTATGTGCTTCGAGAATTACTAAACCTAACCCATGTAAGACAATTTTATCCTTTTTAATTTTCTTTTACTAAAATTGCTTCTCATCACATTCTAACCATCTCAAACATTTTTTAAATTCTCTAATGTACAGATGAAAAGTTATACATATATGGAGTATTTTTTTAACTTCTGTTCTTCAAATTTCGGGTTTTTAAAAGTTCTTTTTGTTAAATGTATTGTACGTGTACTTGCTTAATTAAGTTTACACCATTTTGAATTTCAAGATAAAGTTATATATTAATATATTTAAAATTAAAAAATATTAAAAATAAGATTTTAAAACTGCAATACTTGTTTTACATTTGGAATACATGTACCTTAAGTTAATTTATAATAGTTTTTTATTACTCATAATATCACACCATATATGTTTAAGCTAAAAAAATTAGTCCAAACAAAAAACATCTTTATTACTATTATTAGTATTATATCAGGAAATTAGAATGTGCAAAGTGCTTTGGAAGATTTATTCTAATCTAATATGGAGTTCTAGGGCGGATTCCTTACTTTTGAAAATTTCTAGTTTGATGTCATATTATCTGGTTAATTTTTAGCTCTTTTTGCCAAACAGATTTACCTCATCCAACTAAAAGTTCAAAATTATGTTTCTAGACAATAGTCTTGAGTTCAGACAATAGACTTTAATTCAGACATTAATTTCCACGTACAGTTCTAAATGCCAAGCATCGCCCTAATTAATCTATGAGCCCGTTTAACAACCTTTGTTTTCATCTTATCGTCAAATGTGTTAATCAATTGTGTAGTTTAATTTTGACTTCGCTCGCTAGATTGGGAAATAATCAAAGTAAATCAGGTTAGAGTAATTTTCTAGCTAAATTGGCCGAATTTACTGTAGAACATTATTATAACTATTTTTCATGTATTTTTGTCTTAACTTAATTAACAAAATATATTTTAAATACAATTTTTCAATAACTCAGCCAATGCAACACTTCAACCATAATTTCATCAGATTTATCCTATTTAGCCAATTTCAGTGTCACCAAATGCGCTCTACGTATCCAAATAAGAAATTGCTTTATGCGTCGTCTAGACTCTAGAATTACTAACCCTAACCCGTGTAAGACACAAATATACCATTTTCAATTTTATCTGATTCAGCCAATTTCAATGTTACCAATGGGCTCTATGTATCTAAATAGAAAATTGCTTTCTGTGCCTCCTAGAATTACTAAACCTAACCCGTCTAAGACACAAATTTACCCTTTTCAATTTTCTTTTATTAAAATACTTCTCAACGCATTCTAGCATTTTACCCGTGTAAGTTGTACATATTTTTTAATTTCTTAATGTTTTTTAAATGTTGATCTTTTTCAAAGCTTTTTTGTGCTTTCTAAAAAAGTTTTTTTTTTCAAATAAATTTTAAAAATTGTGATCTTACTTAATTTTGTTTACACCATTTTGACTCTGAAGATAAAATTATTATTATTATTATTATTATATTTTGAAATATAAAAAATTTCCGTATTAATATAAAGATTTTAAAAACTGCAATATCTATTTTACATTTGCAATACATGTACTTTAAGTTAATTCAAAATATTTTTTATTACTCATAATATCACACCATATGTGTATTACCAATACTGCTCAAAATATTATTTCTCACTTTTCAAACGATAAAAAAATTGTTCTAAATAACTTTAAAAAGCATTCAGATATGTTTAAGCAAAAAATTGATCAAATTAAAAACATCGATCTTTATTACTCTTATTAGTATTATATTAGGACATTAGAATGTGTAGAATGTTTTGGGAGATTTATTCTAATCTGATATGGAGTTCTAAATTTAGAGAGTACTCCTTTAAAAATGTTTTTAACTGAACTCGAATTGTCTGGTTTGATCTGATTTGGTAAGATCTAACCTATATTATTATAAATAAATGTATCGTCTATAGATCAACATTGAGACAATTTTACATAATTAATGTATAGAACTTTGATGGTGTCTAATCGAACACAATAAAATCTCCATAATTCATAATTGAGTTTTTAAAATTTTAATTTAATGTAGCCTAGAATTTGTAGGAAGTTTTAGAAAGTTTTTTCAATTACGTAGTATAATCCAATCTAGGAACTTTTTAGGATGTGTTAGGAAGTTTTTTGAATTATGTTTCTTGAATTACGAAGAAGATGACATGATGAATTTTAAACTAACTGATGATTTCTAATCTAACTTAACGTTTGATCAATTTTAATCCACTGTAACTTTAGGAACTTTTTAGGATGTGTTAGATAGTATTTTGAATTATGTTTTAGGAATTACGTAGAAGATACTTATGAATTGTAAACTAATGTAAACTAATTAACGTTTGATGAATCCTAATCTAACTTAACGTTTGATGAATTCTAACCTAATTAAAGTCTAATAATGCATGTAACGAAGCATAATTATAATTAATTTACTAAATTGGAAAGAGAATCTAAAATATTATAATGAATGTTCTTAGAAGATGACACATGGCAAAACTTTCCATATTTGTATCTTTAAAATGTATTATCTATAGAAGATAAGAGCCTAAGAGGGACCAAATCCATCTCGACATTGTGTTCACGCATTCCTATTCTTCCATACTCGAAACGATCACCCACCGGAGGTATCGTGTTGGATCTCCCAACTAAGGGAATTAACCTCAATAGTTTTGTAGTATTTTATTTTTACTTTTGCAAAGCTTTTACTAGACTTTCCCAATTTTCTACGATTCCTTTATTTCATTTAATCTTTCCCGATTAAGAGATTTTTTTTTTTTAAACTACATATAGTTTAATATTAATAGTTTTAATTTTATTAATTATATATAAAGTATTAATATATCACAAACAGCATATTGACGATTTTATAAAAACATATCACAAAACAATTATCTGGTCCTTTTGACATTTTATCATCTACTATACCTGAATTGATGTGATAGTATATATATATTAGTATTATATTTATCAGTCAAAGTTTAGTATTATTGACCCGAAAAATAAAAATAATTAACTAAAAAGAGAAAAAAGTAGAAAACAATTGATTTCTACTATATCTTCTGTCAATATTTTTATGGATAAAGTACACTAAAATTATTGATTAATTTGGTATATATTATGATCATACGGTTCTAGGTGAACTAAATAACTAATAATTCTTTTTTCTTTCTTCCCAAATTTACATACCTGATTGTTTATGTATTTATACAGAAATAATAAAAAATTATAAATTATAAAAACCAACTCTACAACAAATCAACGTAAAAAATAAAATTGAAAATATGTAAAAAAAGGAATTAGGCAAAAACAAAATAGATAAACATTAAACATTAAAATTGATAAACGTTAAATCTTGAGTGGGTTAGTGGGTGGGCAATATGCCCCCAAAAACTTAAATGATGACATTTTTGCTCCAAAAATAATTTTAATGTCCAATGTGCTCCTTGGTCTAGACCTTAGTGGTCATTATGCTCCTTCTCCCTAATTAAAACCATTTGGTTTGACCATAAAAAAACAATTATCGAGTTAATAAGTTTACGGTACGCTTCAATTTTTGAAATTTACATCACAGGTTTGAAGTTAGCCAGTACCAGGCATGCAACAAATCATTGTAGAGAATATGCTCTCAATAATTCCATTCAAAAAAAATTCGATCTCAATAATTTGTGATAATACTTCACTAGATAAATACTCCATATCAAAATATTTCCTGCCACTCTTCCAAACATTATTCTTGTTATTGGGAATAAATATGTACTCGGTATATATATGAAGTATATTGTAAGAGTTGAGTTCGAAAACAATTCATTAATATTACTTTTTAAAATGTGTTGGACAAAAATATTACGTAGTATTTAGTAATAATTTGTTAGTAATATATTAAGACTCGTGATTTCATCCTAAAAGGTCAGCCTGATAGGAGGAGTAGTCATCCACTTATAAATTATAGCGAAATTTCCACTTCATAAATTATTTTTGGAAAATCTGTATTTTATTTTGCAAATATAATTAATTAATAGTACTACTCCTATAAATCTTATGCCCATATACGAGAGTATATTAAATTGAAATATATTCCATAACCATCCGCTTATAAATTATAGCGAAATTTCCAGAAATAGGAGTAGTAAACATATTTTAAATTTTGATTTATTTTTCTTTCTGAAATATGAGTAAAATTAGTCATTATCATTTTTGTCAGAAGGTTGCAATTGTAGACATTTAATATACCAATATTTATTATCAATATTTTCAATCATAATTGTATTTTTTTTGTCAGAAGGTTGCAATTGTAGACATTTAATATGTCAATATTTATTATCAATATTTTCAATCATAACTGTATTTTTTCAATTATAACAATAACAGTGTATCAGGAAAAAAATAAAACTAGCAACTCTTATTTTGAAAAAGAAAAACAAATCCGTTTTTATGCGCAATTTGCCTAAAGTATACTCCTTAACAGTTTAACTTCCTTCCAACAAATCAGTTTAACAGTTTCTCTCTCTAAAAAATTGGAATCTTTTAGTTTCTATATTTTTGTTCCGGACAATATTACCCCGAGCTCCCAAATCAGGGACTTCGATTCTAATTTCTGACAAACTTCAAACCAGTAGTCAACCGAGTCGGATAAATGAAAGCGGTTATTGGTCAACAGCATGCTTAGCGAACGACCCTGACTGCGAAGTAGGAATGGATTTGGAAGAAGGAGTAGGCGAGTCGTCGTCTCCGCCGAGGGCCTTAGGCAGCGTCGGCGGTGGCGTAGGTGGAGCTAAAGACGTACGGACCAACGTGTACAACAAGCTGCTGCAGATAGGTAATGTGGATGTGATTAGCGACCGGGTTCTTCTCCGCGAGCAGCTGGACGCGCACTTCAATAGCTTGCCTTACAGGTTCCAATTCATCTCTCTCCCGCCATTGATGACATCAATTTGCTTTTAGTTATTTTGATTTGCTTGCGGACATAACTTGAGCCTTGAGTGCAAAGCCTTTTAAGTATGCAGTATGTAGTTGTTTGATATTATCTGCTTCTTTCCTTAAATCAGTAGTATTTATATAGTGTTAATGAATATGCTCTGAACTTGGTCGGACAATTTAAATTAACTTTATATGTCTCTGTATGTTCAATGTATGAGATTGCGTATTCATGTACTAGTAATTGAATTCTAAAACATTGCAATTTTTCTGTATTGTTGAGTTAGAGAAATGTATTGGTGATGCTAAATGTCTCATTGAAATTTGTGTTTCAGATATTTGCTGGATATAAATATGGATAGAGTAGAAGACGTGCTCTTGCATCAGGATCTCCTTGCAAGGGCAAAGAATCCTGATAAGAGGCCTGTTTACCATGTTCGATTTCTAGAGGTACTCCACTATTAGATGCATTTGGTAATTTTCGTTCATTTTGCTCCTTCACCAAGGCACTCTTCTTGTGAAGCTGATTTGCGGTGCTTATTGAATGCTAACCATAGTTATTTGTGTGTGCGTGTCCCGCGCACGTGAGAGTGATATAATGATGGATACCTTAGCTGTTTAATTTATGTTCTTTTTTATTTTCCTGAAACATGAACTTCTTACTCTCGCTTCGTGTGAAAGAGAATAAGGTGGTTTAATTAGACCAATTGCTCTACATTTGTTTTCTGCTCATCTCCCCCCCCCCCCCCCTTTCTTCTCATCAAACAATTCTTTGTTTTCTTTTAGTTGAGTGCTGGGACTACTAGATTTGATGATACAACTGACCAACAAATTTCAAATCCAGCATCCACTTCAAAGGTGCTTTACACAATTGGTAATGAAGCGAGTGGTCCTTCCCATAGCAGGTATTTACCATGGCAGATGTGTGATACACAAAAACAAATCTTCATAAAAAACTATTGCTTCATTTTATTTTGTATATGAAAGACTTGACCTTTGAAATGGATTGCAGACGAGATATTTCATGCATTCCAATTCATGAAGTAATATTTTCAACCTTAGACAAGCCAAAGCTTCTCAGTCAGGTAACTTAGAATTCATATTACAATTTACAGTATATGACATGAAAATTTCAAATAATCACAAAATCTTAATGCTGCATCGAGGTGCATGATAATTTCAATTTATTTTCATTTCAATTTGATTTATTATGAAACCCTGGTTTTCATTCTTGTGTATGATATCCCGTATCATATTAAAAGTTTGTTGTGCTCTAAGAGCTTGGTGTATTTTGCACTTCTCTCCATGAGACAACACACTGGCCCGGCTTAATCACTGTCCGCCTGTTCGGTCAATGATTGTTCTGAACTTACGTTTGGTCCTATTCTATACCTATAAGCATTGGTTTATATGTGTAAATATGTAAATAATGTATTATATAAAGTTATCTTTGAATTTTCATTTTTCATTACTCTCTCTTTTCCACACAATTTTCTCCCATAAAATATTTTTCTTTTATAGCTCTCTGCGTTGCTTTCCGACATTGAACTTAACATCCGTGAGGCTCATGTGTTTTCTACAAGTGACGGCTACTCTTTATCTGTATTTGCGGTGGATGGATGGCATGTTGAGGTATGTTGCATGTTGTTATTTATTAAGAAGTGTAGGTCTGAAATGTATAATATGCCATTATATACCTAAGCATTAATTGAACTATTTAAAACTGTAAATCTTGCATGAAATAATAATTTTTTGAATTTCCATTCATAATATGATTCATGCATATAATGATCTGATTGATCTCATATGTAAATTATATTTATGTAAATTTCTTTATGACACCCATTGTGATGAAAGCATTTTTCATAAAAATTAGAACCAAAATCAGATTGTTACCATTAAGATGCCATGTCATGAGGTAATTGTGGCAGGATAGTGCCCAACATCATTCAAGTCAGCATTGCAATTATACACTTAAGTGAGATGTATCTATGCTGACTTTGCAACAACAATACATGCAGGAATCAAAAGGATTGCTTGAAGTGTTGGAGAAGGCAATTGATAGAAGGAAGGTAATTGTTTTTTTTATTAAACCTCGAGCACTTTTTTGTGGTCATACAATTTAGCTCTCTATGCAGTTATCAAGTATTGCTCGAATATTTGTGGCGTTTGCCAGGACTCATGAATAGTCACATATTATCAATGCAAACCTTATTGTCTGCAATGGAGTCGTGGAACCTTGACTCAGATTGAATTTGATTAGATAATATACTGTTTGTCTATAAGCCAGAAAAATGAATGATTGTTAATCCAAATTACGGAGTAAAAGATGTCACACATCAAAAGGAAAAAGATTTTCCATCATTCACAAATCAATGGGACCCACGGCCTATTACATGAAACCTGGGCTGGTCTGGAATTGATTTAAATGGAGGACTTTCTTCTTTGAAAATGAAGTCAACTTTTTCTCACCTGCATACGTTTGTGAATGGTTTACACGAGAATGTGTCGGATACTGATAGTAGGATTACATCTGAGAATGAAGAAACTGTTTGATGTAGCATGTTCTATGTTTTCATCACTTTGCATACATATAAAGGGTATTTGACCCTTAGTAGTTTTATAAGTTTATTTGCTTTTAGAATTCAGACAGCAGAAGGAACCCATATCATTTTTCATGCTGTCTAGCTGAAGTTTTTGGGACAAACAAAAAATCAAAGTTGGCAAAGTCCAGTGGGATGGAGGGAGTATACTTTTTTATATAATTCAGCCCTAATTCAGCCACCTGATTCAGCTAGCATTTCATCAATTTCAGCAGATTTAGCTAGATTGAGAGACCAAAATGAGTGTCACCAAACAGGATCTTATATTTATATGTAGGTGTGTGTGTAACAACCAAATGTACAGAACGATCATTCGTCAAGTTCAGTTAGCCTTTTCGCTGACTAGCAAATGTCAGTCATTTTGAAAAACTTTTACCCCAAAAGGTCACACCTTCCCAGTCCACTCACAATATTTTTACCTAAAAAAGATCATACCTTCCCGATCCACTCCAATATTGTGTAATTGTGTGCAAAGAAAGAAGAAAGAACGAAAATGATGAAAAGCTAGTAAAAATTGCCACGATGGTTATTTTTGGCAATTATCATTTAAAAAGTAAAATGAAAAAAAAAAAGAATTTTGAAAATCAGCAGAAAGTACACTTATTAGGAAAGTATTCCGGTATTAAGAAAGCGAGCCACGTATTAGAACCAGTTTCAACCTGTATATCGTGATGAAGCTGCCAATTTTTAGCTTAATATGCATCTCATGTGCGAAATTATTGATCATTTTTAATCTAAATTGGGTTTGATCATCATTTTATGAAATATATTTTCTCTTAGACACTTTCTTTGAGCTTTAGATATTTACTAGTTACTGTTCATGTCATAGGGTTGGGATCCCTTGGTAATTGTTAATAACTTAACAAGTTCCATATGAGATTGCACTTTTATGTATTTCACTTGCAAAATTTCCTAGTAAAATTTTCACTTTTATAATACTATACTTTTCCATTAAAAGCCTGCATTGCCCACTTAATTGCAAAGATGACACCTCATTTTTTCAGCCACTAGATCTCTAGACGATCCACATTAGATCTTCTTTCTCACGTGGAGACTTATTCTCAAATGATTCCAACCGTGTGTGTATATATGCACACATAACTGCTTAATAGATACACACATACATAGGTATGTAGGATTGATAATGCAGTGATTGTGGCTGCATATTCATGTGATCAAATGTATATGCAGAAAACTATTTTTCTTAGAGAAAGATGTGGAGATTGAGAAATTAATAGAAGTTTACTGAAGATTGGGGTACTATTTTCCTATTTCGATGGTGTAGGAGTGGTTTTCTGTATCTGCATGTGATCAATCTTATATAGAGAAAGCTATTTGCATTAAAGAAGAATGTGGAGATTGGGTAATTGACAGAAGTTCGCTGGAGATAGTGGAACGGATAACAAGTGGATCCGGTTGTGTTTTGTGAGTGATTAATTGTATCCCTATTGCGTCTTAAGTTTACTTTTACTTTTGTCATACCCATGTATGGCATTACCTTTCTCCTGATTTTTGTGGTTTGATATGGAAAGGTATCATGGCATATATCATGGTGTTGAAGTTGCAGTGAAGGTTCCTATATCTAAGGATTTAAATCAGGAACTGGTAAATCAATTTGCACAAGAAGCTAATATTTTAAGGTAAATAATTTCAAGGTTCTGTGAGTAAGTGAGCTTCTGGTATCCCTTCATAGTTCATACAGAGTACTAAACCATAAAAAACTAAAATTTATTTCTGGGAGATGTTATTACTTTTTAAGGACTTGAAAGTCTCCAACACTACTTCTTTATCCCTTTCTGGCTAGATAATCGTCTGTCATTTCTCATTGCAATATATGCAGGCAGTTACAACATAAAAATGTTGTCAGATTCATTGGTTCCTGCTTCAAATCTCCTCAGTTGTGGATTGTCACGGGTATGGAATTATAAATTCTTATCCAAGTATGATTTTTCAGATCTTTGCTATGTTAGTAGCCATTAGGCATAATGTTTTATTTGTTAATTTTGTTGGCTGGATTTTTTCATCGAAACCTTATTTCTTTTCGTCAGCCACTTGCCATTGCCTTGACCGTCTCAAACATCTTAAAATATTCATTAAGTCTTGCTCACTTGAATGCCTTTTTTCTTCTTGAGTTTTGCGTGGAATGTAGTTTTCTCACCTAATTCTATAGGTAAACTTCTTGGTTGTATGTTCTGTATACAATTTTTTTCTGCAAAACTCTCCCTATTATTCTTATGTTTATCTGTTGGTCTATACTGAAAATAATAATAGACGATGAACATATGTCGCATTAATTTGACTTTTAGTCGCATTGTTATTAAGTCATTCCTACTTTTGGTCCTCGACTTTCTATTTTCCCCTTATTGGTTTCACCACTATAGATTTTTTTTCCATTATGGTTGTTCCGGTCACCTGGCAAAAATCAACCAGAAATTGTACCGAATTTAGCAGGAAAAATGTCAGGAAGGGACCACAAGTGAAAAAACCTCTAGCCATAGCACCAAAAGTAGAAAAATGAAAGTTGTTGACCAAAAATAGGAATGACCTAATACCCATGGTACCAAAACTAAAACTAATTCACTTATTTATGCACTGACTGGTTTTGTGTGTAGAGTATATGCCCGGTGGCAGCTTGTATGACTACTTGCGTAAGTGCCATACTGTTTTGAAGCTCTCACAACTGTTGAGGTTTGCAATTGATATCTCAGAAGGAATGGAGTACCTGCATCAAAATAACATAATTCATAGAGATCTGAAGACATTAAATTTGCTCATGGATGCACAAAATGTATGTATTTTGACTATTTTCTATCTTAAAAAACTATCAAAATAAAGTCTCGTTTCAACATATGAAGCTTATTTTGATTGAACCCAATACCTCTCTTACTCAAGCACATGCCCTTGAGAAGAAAAGTAAGATTGTCTCTATAAAGTTGCAAGATTACTAAAACAAATTAAATAATTGTGACATGGTACTTTTTTTCACTTATATTTGGAATGTAGCATACATAATTGGGAATTAAAGTAATACCAACAATACATATAATTCTATTTGATTATGTATTAATTAACATGTAGTGATTATGTTTAATTGAATTTAGGAAATCTAGTGTTGCTTCACTAGGGAATTAAAGTAATACCAACATATAATCCTTTAGTGTACACTGAATTCCAATTAGCATAAGTGGTGCAGTGGAAATCTAGTGTTGCTTCACTATTTCATTTGGCTTGGTTTCTTGCAATTTTCCCGGCTTCTGGGTTCGGTATGTTCCGGGTCAAAATGGGCTATCATGTTTTAACAGGTTTTACAATATTAGCGGCTCAGTAGATAACCGGAGAAGGTTAGTTGCCGGGCGGACCTGCCCGATCCGGTTTGGTTCTTGCAACATAGCCAAATATACGAAAATAAAATGAGTTTGAACAAAATCTAATACAGATTTGTTCTATTTGAACTAATTTTTAAGATCACCTACTGAGTTTTATTTTCTTCCAAATGCTCCTCTATTTCTCTACGTATTTCCCTCCAAGCATTTAATGAGTTCTAAACGGACTCTTAATGACCAACTTGGGATCAAATGCATAAATGGTACCTCAACTATTGGTAATGTTGCATTTTGGTACCTTAACTCTTAAATGAATCAAAACGGTACCTTAACTATACATAAATGTTTCAAATTGAGATTTTATTCAAATTTTTAACAAAAAAGTCATTCATAACGATCAAAATTTCATGCGTAGAGTCACCCTACAGTGATCATATGGACAAAAATAAGTTGAAATAGACTTTACGCATAGAATTCTGACTGCCATGTGTAATATTTTGGTCGAAAATTTGAATAAAATCTTAATTTGAAAGATTTGTGTATAGTTATGGTACCATTTTGATTCATTTAAGAGTTAAGGTACCAAAATGCAACATTACCAATAGTTGAGGTACCATTTATGCATTTACCCCGACCAACTTGAGTTGACAAGTGAACACATATGCTTGTTTGTATCTCTTGTACTGGGAATCTGGAACATTGACCTTGTACTTTTTTTTTATGTCATGTATGTGGACATGTTTTTGTAACCCTTGGAAGTTGGAACTAAAATTTCTTCGAGTGTAGCGATTTTGTATTTATTAGCTTTCGTGATCTGTTACAAGGTTGTGAAAGTGGCAGATTTCGGCCTTGCTCGGTTTCTTAATAAAGAGGGTGTTATGACAGCTGAGACTGGAACATATAAATGGATGGCACCTGAGGTATGCATTGAATTTACCTTTACTAGATTTTTCACCTGTGCGATGCACGGACCAAAAATAATTCAAAGATTATCCGAATAATTTTTTAAATAATTACATTAATCAATTATGGCTGTAATAAAATCTTTTTAAATGAATAAAACTATTAAAATAGGTGGTGCATGAGTTGATTATAAATGTAGAAGTAGCACAGCTAGAAAAATATTATTTAGAATATTTAAAGTTGAAGCACCAAAATAAATACTTTCAACAATGATGAATCCACCTGTAGTCAAATTATTCAGAAACTGGGACACGATGAATCCAATTTGGGAAAGACATCAATTCTAGCACGCAAACTCTAACTGGAGCGGTTTAGTTGGCTGAATTGCTGAATTATGGAAAATGTATATTTAAAATATATTTTATTAATAAAACAAATAAAAAATAATATGAACATGACCGCCTGACTGCTTGTAATTTTAACTCAAAGTGGTAACTTATACACACATAAATACATATATTTATCACTTTGAGTAAGAACCTATTTTTTAGATAAGTTTTGATTATGTAAATGCACACATACTAGAAAAATAAATGGCTGTTTGCAGCTATAGCTTATAAGCATAAGTAGTGGCACTTTTGGATCCATACATTTACCCTTACAAAGTCTTTCTTTATGACTTTGTACAGTGAGTATTTATTCGTATGTTCAATGACTTATGCTAAGTGATTGGGTCATAAGCTATCAATAACCAGCAGACCAACCTATACAGTGGTTCATTTTGACAAAAAATACATATGATTATGTATCAAATAAAAAAAAAGTTTGCAAAATTTATGTATGTTAGAAAAGAGTCCCTCTTAATTGGGTAAGCTTTTTGCAATTTATAGACTCTGATTTGGAGTGAAGACTTTATTCTTAATTTTTTACCCTTTTGGCAGCATGCTTCATAGCGGGAGTATTTAACTACACTTATATTCCCCTAATTCCTTCACTATCACCGTGTCATATTGTTTGGGATGCATAAAAATAGGGAGAACTATCAAATAAGCCCTCAAACTTACATAAAAAGTGCAAATCACCCCTTATATAGGAGGTCTCTGTCCGGCCGTCGCCATTTGGGGCGGTTCCCGGTGGAATTTTTTGATGAAATTTTTTTAGCATCTTATTCATTAAGTCTAGATTACTCATACCAAATTTCAGCTAAAAATTCAATCGGGAAGGCAGTCAAATGAATTTTTGAAGATAACTGCGCAGTTAAACAGCGCAGTATATTTCAGAAAACCATTTGACTGCCTTCCAGGTTGAATTTTTAGCTAAAATTTGCTATGAGCAAACTAGACTTAATGAATAAGATGCTCAAAAAATTTCATCAAAAAATTCCACCGGGAACTGCCCCAAATGGCGACGGCCGGACAGAGCCTCCTATATAAGGGGTGATTTGCACTTTTTATGTAAGTTCGAGGGCTTAAAAATATGTCAAAGTAAGTACATGATTTGAAAGGAATAAAGAGAATCATATTAGTGACTTTTTAGTTTTAGGTAGACTTCTTCATATGCAAATTAGATGACGTGAAGATGTTATACCAATTACCAAACTACAACTTTAATATGTAAGTTTAATATAAAATTTTGAAAACTTACATATCCATCATGTAAGGCAGTTTTCTTGTTTCACCCATGATAAAGTTAGCTGCTACCCAATTAAACTTTCAAAGCTCTCCCGTTTAGAGACCTTAAGGATTTTAATATATTCAACTTCTTGACTAAATTTCTGATACCCATTTTCTGCTGTTTGTTTCAGTCATTAGTATAGGTGTTGAATGTTAATCCAGAAGGTGTGCTATATTTATACCCATATCTGGTCAATTAATGGTGCCTCATTTAGCAGGAACTTTACCCACCGTAATTCAACATTGAAAGGGGCATTAGTTACCTTATGGTTCTTGTATGCTGCGTATGGATAGCCTGCCTACTCTAGATATACCAAAGCAGCTTTATCGCATTAGTTTGATTGGACTTGTTTCAAGAGATTTCTAAGCATGCCAGTTGACCCATTCTCAACCTATATTCCCCATTGTTTTAGGCGGGAAAATGACACACATTTTGTATATAGTAAGATTGTATGTTGTTAGAGGTTTCATTTGCTGAATAATATCTATTCTTCGTGTACATTTCTTACTAACATTGACCCTTTATGTATGCTTTTCATTTGGTTTCATTTCTTTCATGGTTTTCATTGACCCTTCACATATGCTTACTTCATAAGTTTGTCATTTTTTCAAAGAGAACTTTTCAAATAAATTATGTTTGGTTAGCACACTTATTTTGAGTTTCAAGTTAGTTAAGCAGCTAGCTTTTCAAATTTGTTACATGAGTTTTATCAGTTATAAACCTATTTTATACTCCCTCAGTCCCAAATTGTATGATACATTTACTATTCACTTGGTCAACACAAATCACTTTTAATCTTTTATTTTATATATCAAAAGTTTATGAAATTTGAATTATTTTTTGCAGGTTTTGTAGCAGTTTTAATGTAGTTTCTGAATATGTAAATTTTATTTTCTAAAAATAATTTGAGTGTTGACAGGGATCAATTTGCTTTATCGTCAGTCAAACATCGTAAACCGTAATGTATCTTACAAATTGGGACGGAGGGAGTAATATATTTAACTTAACTCCTTAATGTCATTTTGTATTTCAAGATATTTTATAGCTAATGTTCACCAAACACTGCATGAAAGCCTATAACTTATCGGTTATAAGTTGAAGCCTATAAGTTACAAGCTATAAGTTAGAGGTTACTAGGGTTAAGTAATCAGTCCATAGCCAACCTACAGCTTATCAGCTTGTTTTGTCAAACAAAGCCTTAGCTTATCCTTGTCCTCGATGCAATTACTTAGTTGTTATAATCGCACTGAAATAGTTTTCGGAAGTTGCTGAATATAGCTGGCATAAGAGTCCCATCTTTGCCTTGTGCAGGGATTCAATTTCCTTTTGTCCTTTGGTACATTGCACTAAATTTCCAATAAGAAATTTTGGCTAATAAGAAAAAACGGCTCATTTTTTTTTTAATGTCTCAAATACTGTATAGGTCATGACACATAAGCCATATGATCAGAGTGCGGATGTATTCAGCTTTGCAATTGTCCTTTGGGAGCTTTTAACAGCCCAGGTGTTTGCAATGCTCCCATTTGGTTATGAGTTGGTATTACTAATCTTTATATAGAGGGGGCAGAAAGAAATATAAAAAGCTAAAGTCTGTTTAATTGTCTTTGGCTCTTTGTTGAGTTGCAGGTACCGTATGGCAAAATGCTTCCTGTATCAGCAGCCTTGAATGTCACAAAGGTAACTAAAATAGCCAATCTGGACTTCTAAGCACAAGTGAGTTATTAATGTAAATCGATTATTGGGCATGAAATTAAGTCCATTGCTGGGTACACTTACTATCTTGAAACTAGAAGAGTCCTTGCATTAAATAGAACTTTGAGACCCCATTATTCACTGTCTTGCTGTTTTCTTAGGGTATGTTTGGATAATGGAAAATGTTATATAGAAAGGAAAGAAAATGCGAAATGAATTTAGTTTTCTAAGTTTGGCTTTATCTTGGAAAGAGTAAAAGGTAAAAGGAATATTATTAAAATAGTTTTTGTGTTCATATATTTTTCTTAGTCTTGCCTTTACATTAAAAAAAAGAACGAGTGGGAACAAATTTCTAAATAAACTCTATTGAGTTTGAGTGTATCCTTTATTTTCTCCTAAAGTTTCTTATCCTTCCCGTTATCCTCTCTATTATAATTTGGAGGGCTCATGGATGCTCCTTTTGGTTCCCTATGAGTGGTGTCCATGATTACTGCAGTATCTAGAAGTGATCTATCTATCTATTAGTTCATTGGACTCTAAAAATCAACTCTTTCACAATGACAAATCCACATTTATCCGTCGCAACTACACCGTACTACATTTTGTCATTATAGGGTGAAGTCTGGTGGTAACAACTTTTAGGATGTGTTAATCCCTTTTACTTCACAAGAAATAAAATACTTTTATGTAATGTCCTGACCAACATATATCTATGTTATTGTGCATTGCAGGGTCATAGACCAGAATGTCCAAATAACACACACCCAAAGCTGCTCGGTTTGATACATAGATGTTGGGAAACAGTTCCTGAAAAGCGACCCTCCTTCTCTGAGATAAGAGCAGAACTTGAAGAACTCCTACATGAAGTTGATAAAACAGTGGTTAGTTATCTTTCATTTTTTTGCCAGCAGTGCGTACGTCTTATGCTTTGCTTTTTATCTGTTTATTCAAAGTATGCTGTTTATTCATGTCACAGGATGACACAGGTGTATCAAAGGAAGGATGACTGCGCTCAATTAATGGTTCCACTTCATATTGCATCTTGACAGTACTTAACACATGGAAGTTTGTATATTTGGAATGTTGGATGAAAGATAATCTGTCTTTTCCCCCTTTCCCTAGACTGAAACACGACAGCATTAATTGTAGTCAGTAAGTAATGAGGTCACAAATAGCATGATTTTAGTGCTGACGCACCACAAAGAGAGTATAGGCACCTTTAGGACTAGGTCTGTCCGCGGTTTGAACCAGATCCGAATAGCTGGTTTCCAGTTTCGAAAATCCCCCAACCTGACCAAAAACCACACGTAGCGGTTCTAGTACAGTTCCAGTGGTTCTTGTTTTGGTTCTGGTCCAGTTCAGTAGCTTTTTTTTTTTTTGCCTTCTAAATATTTGCTCCATCTGTAATTTTCCTCCGGAATTCCGGATATTTGGCCTATCCTATGAATTACTCCGTATATAGTAAGTTGCCAATCACTTTAAATTTGGTCTCATAAAGAGTGGAGTAATTAATGGGTGAAGCATAAGGAGGAAGCGGTCTGAAAGTTTTGGTCCATTCTTCTCCAGGACCTCTACTCACTTTATATCCACATGACCACATAAGGAGTAAGCAGGAGGGACACAGAGCAGCTGCAGGCACTTGTAGAGATCAGGAGACCCGCGCATGTTGTTTTGAACTCCTAAATTCTGGTTTGTAACCGGAACCGTTCGAAAATGAACTGGAATCAGCAGTTCCTGGTTCCAACTTTGTAAAAAACAGAACCACCCCTATAAACCACAGGTCATAAAACCGTGACCTTTATTGGATTTTGATTTTGGTTCAGTTAAAAACCCCTGCTTCTGGTTAAAGTGGAAACCGGAATAGGTCTACTTAAGACTTTTGGAGTTGGGACTACTATGGAAAATATATTACAGTATGTGCTAAGAAAGTCTAATATGTTAATAGTTTTCTATATCAAAAGATTACGCTCATAGTAATATTAATATTGATTACGAACGTTTCTTTGGTTTATATTCTTATCTTTTTTTTTTACATTCCAGAAATTCCAATTCGTTCATCAATTTAAGTCAAACTTACCTGCAAAATGGGCTCAAGATTAGAGAAAACATGGATGCACAATAGTGTGTGTGTATATACTTGGATTAGTTGTATATGTATGTAAATAACTGGTGTTTTGCCCACCTGGCCACCTGGGCACTGCCCCAGAGTAGTGTTTATAATTTAATGTTCATATTTGACTTTATGGTATAATTATAAATTGTTCTTAATTTTGGTGAATATATGTAATTTGGGTAAATGATTTAATTTGCGAAAGCTTCTTGATACTCATTGGGGGTGTTTGGGAATTGGTTGTTGGTTGATTATGTTAGCTGATTGATGTCAACAAATTCAGTTCGATGTTTTGATTAGCTAATAGAATTAGCCGTTTACAAAATAATGTTTGATTAAATGACTGTTTACAATTAGCTGATAACTTGTTAAATAACTTTAATGGACATCAATTTTTTTAGTCAGTACCACTAGTTTAACTATTTTAATACAACTTATTAACATAAGTAATAATTATCTTGTCAAAGTATTAAGTCTAATTTTGGTCAGGTAATTTTTTTTTCATATTTTCTTGATATTTGGTATGACAGTACGTACTATGTAGTATGTAGTGTTTATGTGCAGGATATTAATGTTATCTGCAGAATATTGAACAAAAGTCAATTTGTGAACTCCAGAAATATATGTGTGGAATATCAATGTTATGGAAGGGCCCACTAGTGAAATTGCCAACAAGTGTGATCTTGATAGTTTAAACTCTGTTTTAAGCTAGCAAAAACATTTTTTCTCTTCAGCAAGGCAATTTATCGAAAGAGAGTGCAAAAATAGTGGGGTAGCCTAGGAATATTTATAATATTAAGAGAAAAGTCATGCCCAAATGCTGAGATTAGTGGCGTTTCAAAAGTTGGTTGTTTGGGGCAAGAAGCCGAATAGAAAAGTTGTTTAACCTAACACTTAATTAGCAGATTCATCTGGTCAGAAGGCTAAAAACTAGTCAAAACAGCTAAAAAATGGTTGATAGGCCACTAACCAAACACCGTCATTGTGATTTAAACAAATGTGTCAAGACCTAAGACCCCCTTATATTATGCTATGAATGTGTTCTTATTACCGAAAGAGTTGTGTGAAGAGATTGAAGTAATAATGAATGGTTTTTGGTGGAATGGTTCAAAAAGGGATAGCAAAGGAATTCGATGGAAATCATGGGGAGGGCTATGTGCCTGTGTCGACCAAAAGCAGAAGGTGGATTAGGCTTTCGTCGAGTTCGTGATTTTAATATTGCCATGCTTGCTAAGCAAGCTTGGAGGCTAACAACGGAGCATGGCAGTTTAGTGAGCAGAATTTTTAAAGCCCGGTACTTCCCTCACACTTCTTTTTTGGAGGCTAAGATAGGAAGTAATCCTTCTTTCATTTGGCGAAGCATTCTGGAAGCCCAGTCAGTGGTGGCGGCCAATATCAGGAGAAGGGTCGGTAATGGTGTTGCTGTTCAAGTGTGGGCTGACGCTTGGTTGCCGGGTCCAGGATCGGGCCGTATAACATCAAGCAAACCTCCAGGTATCCGTGACATGAACGTTGTTGCGCTAAGAACGGAGGATGGCAAGAATTGGAATGTTGAACGCATAAAATCTCTGTTTTCACAGGAGGATTGTAAAAAGATCCTTCGAATTCCCATTAGCATGAGTACGAAACCTGATTCCTTTTATTGGAGTGGGGAAAAGAATGGAGCTTTTTCAGTAAAGAGCTGCTACACATTATTGTCGGGGATGACAAATATAAATGTTTGGCTAGGATGGACCAAGGTTTGGGAGTTAAAAATCCCACCAAAAATCAAATACTTCTTCTGGCAGGTTATGGTGGGAGGACTTCCGGTAGCAGTGAGTTTACGGAGACGCGGAGTAGAGCTGCCAGTAGAGTGTAAGCTCTGTGAGGAGGAAGCAGAAACGACAATCCATGCTCTGTACTCTTGTCGAACAGCCCGAGGAGTTTGGCAGGTTGCAGGGGCTGAGTTTTGCTCTTCTGCAACTGTTTTAGAGGACTGGGTTAGAGCGTGTTTGGAAGGCAAGAATGAAGAGACATGGTGCAAATTTATCATGATCTTATGGAGCTTGTGGAAGAGGCGGAATGAGCTAGTGTGGAAGGAGATGCTGCTGCCAGACTCATCAGTTCTCAACATTGCAAGTGCAACGATCCAAAGTTGGAGAGAGGCGCAAGCTTCCAGCTGTGGCACAAGACCGCAGGCTGCTTCACAGGAGGGTTGGCAGTGTCCGAGTAGTGGCAGAATTAAAGTGAACGTCGATGCGGCAGTGAACGAGAAAGATGGGATACGCGCGTGGGGATGCATTGCTCGGGATGATCAAGGGCAGCTTCTAGGAGCTATTAGCAGTTCCAAGGTTATTGATTGGTCACCGGAAGAAACGGAGGCGGCAGGGCAAAGGGAGGCCATTGTTTGGGCTAAACGGGCAGGATGGAATCAGGTGGATTTTGAGACGGATGCTCTGACGGTTGTTCAGGCAGTCCGTCATCAGGGCGGTTTATCCTACCTTGATTTATGGATTGATGATATTAGGCTTCTTTTAGAAGAGAATCCTCTTTTTTCTCTTTCCTTTTGTGGTAGATCTGCTAATCGTGCAGCTCATGCTCTTGCAAGGGCAAGCGTTTTTCAGTCAGGTCTTAGGTTTAACCAGGACTCTATTCCTAATCGTGTTGTAAACCAGCTGTTGAACGATTTACTCTTTTAATGAGAATGCTAGTTTATTACCAAAAAAAAAGTCTACAAAAGTTTAGGTGTATCCAAGATAGACTTTAAAAAGTCTATAAAAGTCTAGCAGCATTCATTCTTAACTTCTAAAATTATGGATTCTTGTGGACTTTTAACTCATTTTTAGTACAACAATTATCTGGAATTCTCTCTTCTCATCACTAAAGATTTACGTGAACTTTTCTTATATCGGTTCTTCATCCCGTCCCACCTCATCCCTCCCCCTAACTCTTCTCTTCTTTAGCCAAGCCACCCCTTCTTTTGCTTCTTTTGCTCCTCCTCCTCATCCTCTTTCAGCTTCTTCTTCTTCAGCTTGCCCCACCCCCCTCGATTTGTTAATCCCATATCGATTCGATTCTAGAAGCTTTTAGAAAACCCGGTATAAAAATCGATAGTATTACATCGAGTCGGTGCAATTCTGGTATGTCATCAATTAATTATTAAGAAGATAAATATTTTAACTATTACTTTCTTTCATCGTTATATCACTAACACTGCACATAAGCACGTAATTTCAAATTAATAAATATATAACCGTAAATAAGTGTGCAAAATTTTACAAAATAGAAATGAAAAGAAAACAATTATTCAGAAGAAAAGCTCGATTGCATCTATGCTTGTACCATATGTGTAACGATTAATGTTCTTACTCATTAATAAAATGGCCAAAACTCTTGAGTATTCTTGAAAGTTTGTTTTTTTTTTGTAAAAATAAATGTGGATTCTTATGCTTCATTGATTCTTGTAGAACTCTATGTTGCTATATGAATTACATTTGTTTCATTTATTTATTAATTTATTCATTCATTCATTCATTCATTCATTCATTTATTCATTTTTTTATTTATTTATTTGTTTGTTTCTTATCATACTCCGTATTATACAGAGGAAATTACTCACGGTAGGACTGAAATATAACATTTTTCTTAAAGTGGGATCATATGTTTGATTTTCCTTAAATGGGACTAAATATTACATATTCACACCTAATTTAATTAATTTATTAATTAATTAATTAATTAATTAATTAATTAATATGATTAATTGTTCTTAGTTTCCTTGCATAACCAAATTCATTTTGTTGGTGGCGGATCAGTCCGATGACAACAACGGGGAACCTCAGTGACAGAGGCGGACATGCAGTTTGGTAGCGGCCATCTAGGTGAAAATTTCGACGACCAGCTATGACGGTCCACCTCCACTTTTAAAAGTGTATGAACTTTTTGAAAGTTAATAAACTTATCCATTGATTTAAGAGTCCATAGAAGTCATTCATAAAAAAGTATATGGATTTAAAAGTTCATTGACTTTTTTAAAAGTCTATGGACTAAAAAAAAGTCCACCACAATCCATATTTAATACACCCCTAAGAGAAATTTTAGGAGAATGAAGTAGTGATGGCAACGGGGCGGATCGGGGACGGGTACACATAAAATCGAAACCGCCCTGTTAGATAAATGTTTGCCCCCATAACCGCCCCATTACCCGTTCAAGTAATTTGTATTTGAACCGTACCCGCCCCAACGGGGAATCGGTTTATCCACGGGTGACCGTTTCCCCAAATGATGTCAAATAACCATTTTTTAACCAATTTCTAATCCTACTTGTTATTTATATATTCAAAGCACCCTAAAACATACAAAAGTATATATTTAAGCAATCAAGCAGACTGGCCTAAATCCATTAGTATGACATGCACCTAATATCTCTTGTAACATAGTAAAAAGGTAGTAATCATCCCAGAATTCAAATTCCAAAAATAGGTTTAAGCCTATATTTAGTTTTAGGCCCTAAAAAGTAGTATACTTTTTAGCATTATTTATATGATATATACTATTTAGTATACACAATTTAGCATATATACTTATTATTCTTATATATAAAGTTATAATTCATTAATAATGTTACGAATCGGGTAACGGTGTGGGTACCCGCACCATTAGTGAACGGGGCGGATTAGTATAGAACCATAACCGCACCATTAACCATTTAAAAAATTCGGGTATTCTCCGCCCCATACCTATTCCCCCAGTCAAATCGGTTTTCCCCAATTTGACCAAATCGGTTCGGTGCGGGTATCCAACGGGTCGGCCGAAATTGTCATCTCTAGAAGGAAGCTACTAATTTATCAATTCAAGAGCTACTAATTTATCAATTCAAGAGCTACTAATTAATTCAATTTCTTAGAAGAAGTGAGGTCTCAAAATTTAGGAGAAACCATGAGTATGACCAGGAGTATTAGCTCAAATATTTCCCAGACTTAAAAATCATTATAATACGAGTAATTACTTTGTTTAATTAATAAATTATATGTTCTTTAATGTTATTTCAAATTATTCCAGCAATTTTCATCACTTTTTGTCAAATGGTTCTGCTCCATTCAGCTAACATTTCAGGTTCAGCACTTCGAAATTCAGCTCCAGACATTAGTCTCTGATTCAGACAATAGCCCCTAATTCAGACAGTAGCCCTCAGTTCCAGCTCCTTGTGCCAAACATAGCCTTAACTATAAG